TTCCTTTATCCATTGATTTAGAATACCACATCTCTCCTTGCAATGTTTTGATGAAATCAATATGAGTAGGATTGCTTTAAAAGTGGGCTACCAATATGATTGAATGGTAATATGTTTAAAGTTGGGGAGGCAGGAAATTTTGCAAGAGTTTGCATTTTCAAATAAGCTTGATACAAAATTACCTTTGGTTGTTTTGGTGCGAAGTTCTTCTAGAAAATTTTTCCAAAAAAATTGAATATAAATGTTATTTGAAAATTTTGTTTTAATTCGTGGTAAAATCTGGTTATTTTTAAAACTCTTATTCAAAGCGTGGTAAAATAAAGGTGAAGGAGCCCGAGGGAAACTGGTAACTCTGTTTGGAGGCTTGGAGAAGGCTGTTTTTGCCATCTCTTAGTGCAATGGAAGCTAACACAACTTTCAGGTATCTCTTTTTTTTGTTCAACAATGTGGCTACTGATGGGAAGGAGTGTGGGTGGAGATTTGGATTACTAATTATGATCCTTGATCCCATGTTGACTATGAAGGAAATATTTAAAAATTCTTGGAAGAGGAAGGAGGCTCAGTATGCATTCATGTCAAATACTTTTAAATGACTCATGGATCAAAAAGAGATTAAAGTTGCTGGAATTATGCACATATGGTAAGGTAAATCTTCAGTTCTAAATTGGAGCTATTAGGAAGAAGTGATGTGGTTGAACCTCTTAGTAAGATTTGGCGTTAGATTCTTAGAATGTCCTGTGGTTGTTTTAGTCCTAATTGATGTGAAGATTTCATTAACTAAAATTCTCATATTACTAGATGGTTTCAATTGCATAATGTGATGATATTCATACTAATATTAATCCGTTTAATGTGTTGAATGGGGTGGTTTGATTAGGAGGAGGATTTGGTGGAAGATGGTGCTTGAACGAGTGAACTAGATAATTCTATAAGCCTAGGGAGGTGAAGGGGGACGAATTTTCTAATTCTTTCAAGACCCGATTTTTTAGGGTTGTGGTTCTTACTGTGTGAAGGAATATTCTAAGGAATGGAAAGATTAGGCCCGGTTATATGATTCCTAAGAATAGATTATGATGGGAGTGGAAAGGCAAAGGCGTATAGGGATCCCCTTGTATCATTAATGTCTTATATTACTTTTGGAATTGTAGAGGAGCTATGAGAAAGAATAACTTTCTCTATTATTAAAGGAATTGCTAATGAAGGAGTGATGTTTTTTGTAGGGGAGACAGTATCTTTGGTTGATAGAAATTGAAGTTAAAGTCTTATTTTTGCTATATGAGTGGGAATTTCTTTTTATGTTTCCCGCCGAAGGGCTTTAGCTGGATTATTATTCTTTATAAAGCTAGTTTGTTTCCTTTTGGTCTTGGAATCTTTTCAATCTCAAATTTTTATTGGTGATTTAAATGGTTTTGAATAAAAGGTGTGTGGTTAATTTCTTCGATTTATGGAATAAGGAGGGTATAAGAAAGGGAGTTGTAGAGTAGAATAGAGTTTTTTTTCTTCATAAGATAAGCCTGTTATTGTTAGAGGAGATTTAAATTGTGTTCTACTAAGGATGATAGAGGCAGGAAAGGTTTCTCTTTTTTTGCAAATACCCAAGGAGATGAAGGGTTTTATTGGGGATAAATGATTATCATGAATTGGGCTTTATTAGGCTGAAGTTCACTGGTGTAACAAAAAGAATGAGGAAGCTTAAATTTTTTAAAGGCTAGCAAGCGCGTGTCTGTTTAAATTCAATAGCTCTGAATTATTCCACTTGTTTGCGTGGTTCATCATCTTTTCAAGGTAGCTCTGATCATTGCATGTTGGTTCTAACATTGTGAAATCTAAATGATACCTTCCAAAGAAAAGTTGTTAGATTTTAAAGCATGTGTAGGGCTTTCTTATCAAGGCCTTCTTCTACTGTGGTGGCTAAATCTTTTGCTTGAAAAAGGCGGTTTGGAGTCATGCTATATTCTTAATACAAAATTCAAAAGAGATCATTGAAGGCTCTATTTTATTAAGAGTAGATCAAAAGCTCAAAGATTTCATAATATTGAAGAAAACCTTTAAAAAGAGAAATTCTAGAGTTGCAACTGGAGGGAATCTTAAAATTCAAGAGGACTTTTTACTAATAAAATACCTCATGTGAGCGGCCAAGGTGAATGAGCTTAAATAGTACTATGGCACACTTGGAACACATGGGAGGCAATGAGCCAAGGTAAGTGGCTGCAAAATGGAGATTTCCAACTCAAAAATAATTTTCATCTTTTTGGCGAATGCAAGAAAGAAATGGGAATTTGATTCCATAAAATCAAAATGAAAATGGTTTTGGTTGTCGAAGATCAAGATGGTATTATGAGCTTTTCTTTTAAATTCTTCAAAACAAGTGGAATGTTAAGGGACAGTTTGATGGAATGGTGGCCTGCTCCTCTGCAGTTGTTGGAGGAATCAGATAGGTGTTGTTTGAACCAAAAATCTAAGGAGAAGTCTTGGTGTGCTGAAGGCATCAAATCCCAATAAAATCCTCCAGGGTTAATGATTGGTATTAACTATTCTTCTATTTAAAGTGTATTAGATATTATTAAAGAAGAGTTTGGGAATGTATTCAAAATTTTTACTTATGCGGACGATGAATGTTTGATGAAGGATACTTTAATTTGTGCTTTTTCCTAAGGTCAATAATCCGATTGTTCCATCAAATTTCAGCCTTTATCTTTGTAAGACTATTTATAAGATTGTTGTTATTATTCTTCTAAATAGATTTTAAAGTTGTCTTCCAAGTTTGATTTCAGATGAGCAAGGCAGCTTTTTGTTGTAAAGGGCATTCCTTACCAATCATGTTTAGATAGCTCAGAAGGTGCTTTCATAAGTTCATATTTTATAAGTCAACTAAAGGGCTGGTGGCTTTCAAAAATTTAATGGAACATGCAATATGAATGTATGGGGTATCCGACTTTAAAACCAAGTTTTGTGCTATTTTGTTTTTCCTTCCTAAATTCTGAGGTTTATTATTGGAATGTGTGAAGATTAAGATATTTCTATCTTGGTGAATGGGATTTCTTCTAATTGATAAGCAAGAAGTGGTTTTAGCAAGGTTTTCCCTTGTCCCCTTCTTGTTCCTTTATGTTCTCAATTATTTATCGAATGAGTTTTATTCATAGAAGAAGTAATATGGGGTATTTAGATTTCTCTAAATGGCCTGAGAATTTCTCAACTTTATATTGCTGATGATATTCTTATTTTCTCGGAAGCAAAATGTAAAGATGGTAAAGGAAATAAAGCTGTATTGTTTGGGAATATTTTGTATGTGGCATTGGCCAAAGGTATTTAATCTCATAAGTATTCTATCTTTTGTTTGGTAAATATGTTAGAAAGAAATAAGAAGAAAGTAATCTCTTCTTTTATGGGCTTTAAAATGGTTGGAGAGAAATGAATTATTTAGGAGTTGAAAGACTGCTTTGAGGAGATAGTGGCTGCCGGATTTTTGGAACATTCCCATTAATAAAATCTTGGGTAAATTCAATATGGGTAGCAGATTAATCTCCCGCGGGAGAATTATTCTTATAAATCCAGTGGTGCTTCTCTTTTCAATTTTATCTACACATTCTCTAGTTCCATGTGGTGTTTTGAAGGAGTTAGAATTTATGCAGGAATATATTTTGGTATACCAGCAAGATGGCTGAATGGGCTTCATTATGTATCTGGGATGGTATTATGCTTGCCAAAAGAGGTTGTGCGTGGACGTAGGATGGCATTTCTTGTGCAAGGCCAAAGTGGGTCCTTTACGTGCTAAATTGGTATGGATGACCTTTCACTTAATCTTGAAGTTACTTTTTTTCAAAAAAAATTTATAGTCAAATATGTCTTGCGCCAGTTTGTGGCGGGGTGTTAAAGAAGATTGTTCTACTTCTTGGAAGAATTATCTCAGTTGGGCTAAAAGCTTTGGCTCTTTATTGTGAGATGGAGAATTGCTATGGCACAGTTCTTAGCTTTAGGATGTTAGAGACATTTTAGTTGCAGGATACCAGGCTGAATGAATGGCCAACATATGTAGCAGGTTTGAGGATAATGATCTCTTCAGACAAAGTTATTGATCATTTGAATGTCTTTAATATATCAGAATTTAGCGATATGGGCTTGTTGGATTCTGCTCGTCGAGTCGCCTGATTTGATTATAAGCATGTCATGTTTAGAATTGTTTATGGTAGTTCGAATTTATGCTTTTGAACCCTTGATTTGGGCTATTATTTTTTTGGCATGGATTTCACTTTATTTTGTGTCGTTGGGTTTATCTTCTGAGACGTTAGTTTGACTGTAAGTTTTTTGTTAAAATTATAGTTGGATTGGTCTCAGAATTTTAATTTTAGAAGCATTTTCAACTCGATTTTTTGCCTCGAGATTCGTGCACCCATCCAAGGATTACTTATATATTATATATATATATATTATATATATATATATAATATTATATATATATATATCAATTGTAAAGCAATATCAAGAGATCGGGCATGTGGTTTGATGGTTGATGGAAGTCATTCCTCCTGATCTCACCCAGGTTCAAATCACCTAATTTGCCTAATCATCTAGAGGCAATAATAGGTCTTTGCGCTTTCTTGAAGACATGCATTTTAAGGATAATTCACGTATATATATATATTGTCTTGAGGAAACGGTCATTTATTGGAGTAATGGAGCTTTATACATCCAGTTTGAGTAGTTGGTATACTCAATCATATTGCAATATATTGATGTTTTTTCAAATATTAGAGAGGAAAAGAAAAATCTTGGAACTCATTTCATACTACCCCAACTTCTTAAAAATGTTAAGGCCCACGGTGTTTTTTGTTCATCGATTTTTCAAAGAAAAAAAATTTCTGAGTCCCGATTATTTACTTCGTTATTTTTATGTAGGATATTAAAAAAAGATTGTCTTAGTCGATCCTAAACATTGGTTCTCCCAAACCCCACTCTATTAAAAATATATATAAAAAAAATAGTAATGTTAAAATCCTTACGCATTTATAGAGATATATGCTGCCAGATCCTTTGAGATGGCATATATTTGACCCGTGGCATGCCTGAAATATTTATTGCCTTCTTCTCCAAATTTCCAGAATTCTGGTTCATGATATTTCACCCCCCTGCAAAAGTAAAAGTAAAAGAATTCAAAATTCTCGAAAACGTTCTTCAATGGAAAACAAATAACATAACATATACAAACAATATATATATACATATATAACAAAGTTCCCTCCACATTATGGGTGTCAATTTGAGTCAACGGGTCGGGTTCGGGTCCAACCCGAATTGACCGGGCTTAAACGGGTTAACCCGAACCCGGCCCATTTTGGCAAACAAGTCAAGTTTGTCCACCCGAACCTGACCCGTTGGGTTATCAGGTTGACCTAACCTGACCCGCGAACCCGAGTGCCATGGGCTGAGTTCGAACGCGAGTCTGTGTCTGACGCGAGTTCGCTATTGTGAGCGTGAGTGCGGGGAAAATGCCAAGGCGGGCAGCAACGCAACTTCGAGCCCTGTGCGGGGAAGACGCCATGGCGGCACTGCAGCCGGTGCAGGACCACAGGGACGGCGTGAGTTCGACCCTACGAGACGATGGCAATGGAAGCGAGTCCGCTACTCTGTGTGCGAGTGCGACTGATTGACGCGGGACCGGTACGACGGCAGGCCGAAGCGACTGAGCGATGTGAGACACAAGTTGACCCGCGGGTTTTCGGGTCAACTTGAACCCAACCTGTTTTTCAAACAGGTCAGAAACCCGAACACGGACCCGACCTGTTTCGCAAACGGGTTGATCCAAACTCAAATTTTTTCGGATCGGATCCTGATCAGATTTCGGGTCGTGTCAAAAAATTGACACCCCTACTTCACGTAACATGCCAGAAATAAAGCATAAATGTTCGCACTTACTTCTGTGATAGAACGGGCCCAGACTTCATGCACCCGACATACACCCTCGGCTTGGTTTTGTATCGTGAAAGAGTTGTTCCCAGCATTCCTACAACACTTCTCAACTTTTTTAGTCTCAACTTTTCAACTTTTCTATATAGAATGGATATATGTGCATCAAAAGGAAACTAGATTTGAGAAGTACTTGAGAAAATGATCATCACCTAGATTTACATGCACGTCGTCATCAACCTTTACATAGAAATCTGCATCCCAGATAGAGACAGCCGTGGCGAAGAACACCCTCGTCTTCGTTGACAGCTCGTGATAACCTTCCACATGCTCAAGCCTTAAAAAATCCTTTGTTTCTGCTTCCTCCGCGTCGATAGCGCGATCCAGTACTCCCCCAGGTGTGGCACTGTGACCGATTACAAATCGGATTATTATACCTTTCTCCTTCTCCAATCTCCAGAGCTTAGAACCTAAATATAGCAATGGTAATGTTTAAGAAAGTTCTATTAACAACTTGTATTCGGCTCTTAGTACTTTTTATAATTAAAGGAGAGCTAGCTCATCTTGATTTGAGCTTAGCCATTGGTGCGTAATTCAGATTATTAGATGACATGTGACTTCATATTAGTTTGCCTGCATCACTTCTTTATTCACATGTAATAGTAAATTTGTATCTTTCAACGTGGAATAATATATGCCAAGAAAATTAGAATTATTCTTTGATGAGCTTAGCTCAACAAAAATTTTCATCTCGGTTTATATATATATATATATATATATATATATATATATATATATGATGACCAAAGTATTGAAAACGTAACAAACTATTTATATTGAGAATTACCATCCCAAAATGCAGCATCAACTATGCATCAAAAAAAAAAAAAAAAAAAAAAAACTATGCATATTATTGAATCTTATTTATAATATTAATTTGCTCTTTGATATTCGAGCAATTATAAATAAAAGTAACCAGACTTTAATTTTGAGAAAAGGAGAAATTTAATTCTTTTTCTTACTATGATGACTTTTCAATTATTTTATTTTCCATCTAATTGTCTAAATGACTGGGATACTGAACATAATAAAATCAAGATCTTGACAAAAACTTTAATAATAAAATTGCATATTTAAAAAAAATTGCATAACTAATTTAATAAAATTGCATATTTAAAAAAAATACATGTATGTGAGTACCTTTAGGCATCCAAGTCTCTCGAATCGAGTGGCGCCGCCTACTGCTGCTAAAGGCAGTGTTGATGCCGATGACGACGAAAGCCTTTTGGAGGCCTCTGCCGGAAGAAGGTGGCCCCCAATTTTTGCTAGTTCTAGCCACTGCAAGCTCCATTTCAAGTGAAGAAATTGACTTTTCCAATGACCTACGTACATATGTTGTAATTAAGAAATATAATATGCATTGTAATTATTTCATCAGAAGCAAGCTTGTATTGAAGTCTCACTGAATGGCTTTATGGGTCTTTGACACCTCTCCGATTATGTCCTTCGAAATCCCCTCTCCTAATCTCTATATCATAAATCAAATGTGGCCAAAATTAATATTATAATTTAATTTTGATTATTTTTGTCTGCAAATTAAGGCTTCGTTTATGATGACTTTCTTATGCTTTGTAAAGAAGCCTTCTAATACAAAAATTTTAATTTTTGACACTAAAAAATTGCTTTAAGAGCATCTCCAATGGAACGGCTGTTCTTCCGTCGCTCCAACCAAGCGGCAATTCTTACGTCATTTCATCATGGATGAACAGTGCGACGTCACAGTTCAATCTTTGCCATTTTTTGGTATCTATCGAACTTGTCGAAGAAACGAGCGAAAGAAAAGAACGACCGTTACGGGGCAAAATGGCGTTCGATTGGAGATGAATCACGGCAGTTTTTAGTTTCATGATATTTTAGAGTGAAAAATGAGACTTTTGATTGGAGATGTTTTAAGAAGTAGTAATAAAGTCATCCCATACGAAGCCTAACACACTTACTCTCTTATGCTGACACTCGATTGAGTTCTTAGATTCATATGTAGTTACAGTGGTGGAAGAGTTTGCAGCTATTCTGTTCTCCGGCGACGATGATGATGGGAGCACAGCGATTCGGCGGGTGAAGAGAAAGCCGAACATAAAGCAGAGAAAGCACAGCGCCGCCACCAGCCTATGAGGCAACAATCTCCCCCTTGATTTCTTCTCGGATGATAGGGATCTCTCCGCCATGGCCTTCATGAAGCCGCGCAGGAGTAGCATTACGATAAATTGAGGGATAATTCAGAAGTTGAGAAGGTGAGCTGCAAACTAAAAAACTGGATGATGAAATTTAAGGGAGTGCGCGAGAGCTTGAAGATGATATTACCATCACGTGTAGTTGTTGACTGGATGACGGGTAGTGCGCAAAAGGAAGAGTTAATGCTATTGCTAGAATTATAGATGAGCAGAAATTTCAGAACTTGGGATAGTTTGGGAGGTAGGAAGCTAAATGAAATGGCATGATTTGAGGCATGCAGATTATGAATCCTAAGGGCAGCACTAAAAGTATGAATACAACAACGTTCAGTTTAAAGGGTGATTTGTGTGTGCTCGGCTCATGTTTCGTGTGTGACAATGAGGTTATCAAATAAATCTAACATGGTCGTTTTCTACTTAAGAAGAAGTGCTTTTATGGGGGAAAGTTTTAAACTGAACCTAGTAATAATTTTTTTGGCCTTAAAAAAAAAAACAGGCACAGTCGCTCGTTAAACAGGTAACTTGCTGCTCACCATCAACAAAAAAATAACAATAATAAAGCAAAAGCTGACATGGCTTGTGACTTGCAGAGAGCAAGTAATTTGTGTGTGCTCGGCTCATGTTTCGTGTGTGACAATGAGGTTATCAAATAAATCTAACATGGTCGTTTTCTACTTAAGAAGAAGTGCTTTTATGGGGGAAAGTTTTAAACTGAACCTAGTAATAATTTTTTTGGCCTTAAAAAAAAAAAACAGGCACAGTCGCTGATTAAACAGGTAACTTGCTGCTCACCAGCAACAAAAAAATAACAATAATAAAGTAAAATCTGACATGGCTTGTGACTTGCAGAGAGCAAGTACCCGAGAGTCCCCGTGGCGACCTTCATTTATTTTTATCACTATTTACGAGCCTGTCTTTCTCCCTTTTTTTTTCTTCGTACGTTAGTCCCTTGATCCGTCGCAAATATATCCGAACTAAGGCAAACTCTTGCTCTTTTTTTTATATATTTTTTTAGTTAATATTAATTTGATTGAGTAGTATAGCTTAGATATGCAGCTGTTTTATGTTGAGGATTTTTTTCTACCTTTTTGAAAGGATTTTTGTGTTTGTTGAAGAATGCAAGTTTAGTAGTGTTGGTTTTGGGACTTTGTAGAGCAAATGTCTATGTAATAGCTATCTACATGTTAAAATATGAGAGATTAATTCATTATATGTATTGTTTTGAGAGGTGATTCTGATCCTAACATTTATCATATTTTTTAGACTTAAAAATTTGGCTGATAAGTAATAGTCTAAATTAATGGTGTCTTTTAAGGAAAATTTCTTTCTTTTTGGTAATTGTAAGTTGCCCAATTTATCTTTTATTTTTGTGCATAGATTTGTAGCATTAAAGATACTAGAAGTAAATGGATTTGGTAGAAAGTGGATTTTGTTTGTTGGTAATTTTTTTTAGTAATTTAATTAGAATTTTTAAGTAAAAAAAATGTGGAAGTTTTGGAAGTAGTTTTTGTAATCCTTTTAGATTCTTTATGTGAGATTTTTTTTTGTGTGTTAGTTATAAAGTTTTGATGGAAAATGTGAATTTTTTTGAGCAGTTAACCATAAAAATAATAAACTTAGAATTAAAAAAAAAAAAAAAGATTTTTCATAGATTTGCATCTTCTTGTGAAAGTCAATGTAGGAGACATCCATGTTAGTGTGATGGTCTTTAAATTATTTCATCATCAAATGATTTGAGTATTAAGATTTCACTTTGGTTTATTTGTTTGATGTTCCGGTTTTATAAAAAAATTTAATAATTTGATGGAATTTGTTACACATTTAGTAATTTTGAATCAAAACCAGAAGTACCCATTTTGTGTTAGGGTTAGAATTTTCATGAAGTCTTTTAATTAGTTATTAATATTTTATATCGTTTTGCTACTTCACTTATGAAGTGCCAAAGTTATTTAGAATATCTCTGTTAGACATATATGAATATTTGAGAGATGACTTTCTTTATTATTACATATTGTTAAGATTTGTTAGTGAAATGTAGCTGGTCAACTATGACTAGACTAGGAGATTCATTTATGACAATGTATGATAATGAATTATCTTTGGATGCTAAATTTGCATTGATTTATATTGGGGGAAGGAGTCATCCATACAAGCTCCAAGTGATGTGAAGTTAGAGTAGCTAAAGTTAGGGGTCCTGAAATCGTCGAAGTATGATACATCCTAGTATAGAGTGATGTTAGTTTATCATTTGCCGTATATCAATGAGTTTATTGCTTGGCATGTCTAGGAAGATGAGGTCTACGAAGTGGTGTTATCTCATGTTGCTAGAGAAATTTCTATAATGTATTTGGAGGTTGAAGAACTAACTACATTTACTAATAATAATGAGAATCTCACACCCATGTATATAAATTATTTTGTCGAGAGGAAAGGGTATATATTGTTTCAAGGCTCCCATCAATTGAAGAGCCCTCTTCGAAGTAAGTACCCAATTTGAATTTGAATTTAATGATATTTAGTTTTTTAGATATGTTACTTGTCCTTTACTAAACACAATTTTTTTTTTCATGTAGTGATTTGCAGAATTAATGCTTGCAGGATGCTCCAGGACCTTCGAGTCGACAATCCCTTGTTGATGACAAATATGAAACCAAAAGTAGTGAATAAAGTGACCAAGAATGTTATGCTGGTGATCAATTACTATATGATATAAATAAAGGAAACTTTATGTACCTGATGAGATACATAACATCATTCAAAATTCTTGTTATAGGACAGTTGGCACTGAAGAAGGCATGGTTACAAAAAAAAAATGAATTTGTTGAAACATGTCTGATAACTTGTAAACGAGATAAGGAAATAATCTTTGATGATGGCAATATTAACAACAAGTAGAAGACGAATTTTCAATCCCAACAGAGTTGATGGATATGATATTGTGTTTCACAAGAAAATCTAACCTACAGTTTACATAATAAGAATGATCAATTAAAAATAATGTTATGTTTGTTATGGTTATATTAAATAAGTAGAAATTTATAGTGGCATGTGCTTAGTATGAAGGGTTAGGCACTCCACTTATGGCATTTGCATGCTGGTTTGAGAAAATGTTTAGGAGGTATATGGCAAATTCATTTGTGAAAAATCAACATATGTGCACAAGTCTCATTCTTGTGTCTGGCCACCATCAATGTAATTCTTAGTTTATAATTTACTTCATTTTATATACTATTAGAAAATAGATCGACCCAAAGCCAAGTGAGATTATTGGTTGAATTAATTCTATGTTTAATATCAAAGTTTCATACATGAAAGCTTGGGATGTGAGATGTAATGTTGTTTTGGCTATATTTGGTAGCATGGAGGACTCCTTTCAAGCTGTGAATCTATTTATGGAATTTATTGCATCAGTAACACTTAAGATAGTGTACAAGATATAGTCTATTGAGATACATAGATTTCAAAGAATGTTTAAATCTTTTGGCACTTCTATAAGTTGGTGGAGGTTCTCTAGACCTATTCTTAGCCTTGGTGGGACATTCCTTCTAGGTAAATATTTAGAGGCCCTCTGAAGATTATCTAACTTATCCAATATAGCTAGACAAACCTTCTTGTTTCAGTCCAGAGTTTGTTCCATTATCCTTGGATGTACCTTACATTATATAGACTTATGCAAGTGTCGAGGAGCATCATAACTTATGTACTAAATAACTATGGCCACCACAAAATTTTGTACCTGATAGTGATGTCTTGCCCTACCAAAGGAGGTAGTAGTTCTGGTTAAGTTCTCAAGAATTTTATTATACGTTTCTTATCTTTTTTATTATACTATTTCAAAATATACTATGTAGTATTTATTCTTCAATGCTATGATTTTCTTCCTATTAGATTAAAGATTATTTAATGAAACCACATTCATTATAATTTTTTAAGGATAAATTTGAAAATTTATTTTCATATGAACTACTAAAGAAAAGCTATAAAGTACTATAACTTGTATTATCTAATGCTTACTTTTCTTGTGCAACGCTATTCATTCTATTCAAATGTGCTATTTGAATTAAATAACATTAAATGCTATATTTATAACATTATAAAAAATCCTTAAGAATATATGTAGAACACACTAATAAAATATGTAGATGAAGCAAGAAAATTCAACATTTAATTTCCCCTTCCAATCTAAATGCAACCTCAAAATTCAAACTAAAGAAAATGCCTACAACACTACTCCTCATTTAATAATTTATGTATACGTGTTTGGAGTTGAGTTTGCATTGGACAATAAACAAAGTACAACACAAACTTGTACTATAAATATTGCCAATCCGTTTGATTTAAAAATTCTCTCCTCTTACTTTCGAGCAATAAATTCTTCGTCTGTAATTTCTTATCGAAATCTAGAATAAATTCTTCCTTGGCCGAATCCCAAGGATGATAAAGAATTAGATGTTCATCATCAACCAATTTTCATTCAAAGAGAAATGATATGCCACCTTTCCTTATGCATTACACCTCATGAAATCCACTCGAGACACTTGTGTCACTGCACTCAAAAAATGAAATAACACTGCAGCGCTGAAGGGCTTCCTCCACTGCAGCACTTGCTGACATATATGGACTCTTTGTTTAATGAATTGATGCATTGCTTCCCATGAAGACCATGGACTGAATAGTTACAGTTGTAGCACCGTGGAACTGCTGATGGTTGAGAGCTTTGGAATCCACATGACACTTTCCTTGGCTTGGAAGCATTAAAATTTTGCACCGTGATGCTGTGTAGATAGAGACTGGGATTTAAAACGCTACCCCTCTAAAATTGCCACACTATTAAACAAAGACTGGGCACTGCCATGTCCTTGATTGGGTGCTTTAATGGTGTAAATGGTGGTGCTATGGTGGTATTGTGTCTGACAACACGGTGTTGTACCATTCTTTGAAAATTTATCATTTATTTTTTAATAATCCTAAAGAACTACATTCCAAAACCTAATTTTGACTATTTAATTTTCCCTCCATATTGA